CTTGTAAACACAAAAGTACTCTAATAAAATTTTATTAAGTGTTAAAAAGTCATAAAAAGTGAAATAACATAAACTACAAAATTTACTGTCCTCAGCAAATGCTGAAAATATCGTCCATAGTAAAATTAAATTAGCATGTAATAGACAGAGAAGCAGTGTGGAGTGGGTTTAAAAGAGGATCCAGGACAAAAAAATGCACTTGGAACTGGGTCCTTGGGATTTAGTTTATGGAGATCCTTTCTTTTTATTGGCGGGAAGGTAGAGATGAATGAATATGCAGATTATGGACAGGGGCGTTCTAAGGTCATTTGTGTCCTGTAGGTTGTCGATACCTCTTTGGGAGGGGGTGGGGGGGAATATATTACAGGCTGTAATAGGGGATGGGAGGAGGGAAGCGAGTCATGGGTGCGGCTGCTGTCCACTAGGGAGCGCTGTGAGACTAGGAATCTCTATGCCGAACCTAGGGAGGGAATGGGGGACCTAATAGAAATAACCCTACGGCTCAGTAGGAATGTTCACCCCCCACCGTAAAATTATATTTACATTTTTGGCGTTTTCTTACAAATCAAAAAAAAATGGAGTGAAGAAAACAATGCTGTGGAGTTGAGCTGCCACAGACTTTCTCATGGGGAAGGAAGAGAGGGGGCTGGCTTCTTTGGCTGCATTGCCCATGCCTTCCTCCTGCAACTTTCAGTCCTGCAGCCCAGAGGGGGAAGAGATGTCCCCAATCCCTGTTTCTGATGGGGGGGAAGGCATCAGCCTTAGGCGCTGTGCTTTCCACTTGCACCGTAAATGCCACGAAGGGCCAGACCGCGTGGATCCAAGTAAGTTGACTCTTTTACTTGCATTTGCTGCCCTCAGGGCAATGCCTTGCCACACACTAGGGGCAGGGGTTGCTCGGCTGGTGTTTGTAAGAGCGGACTGGGGGATCACGGAAATAACCCCGCAGTTCAGGGAAATCCACCCACTGCCCCGCTCCCAAGCGCTGCAAGCGGGAGGTGCCGGCCAAGGGAAACCGCGCGGGGGGTGCTGCCAGCAGGCGCTGGGCTGCAGCGGCTGGGGCTTGAGGGCCGAGTTATCCCAGACCTGCCATGGCTTAAGGCCCCCGAGGCTGGGCGGAGCTGCGCTGCAGGCCTAAGGCTGCCTGAACCCAGCCCGCTGCGGCTGGTGGCCCACGCTGACCCCAGGCCTCCCAATGGCCCCGCAGCATCAGTCCTGGCTCGGCCCCACGTCGCTCAGAAAGGAACCTTCGGAAATCCGCAGACAACGTCTCCCATCCGAGCCCTGTGCCCTGGCACCAGCAACCCCTGCTCCGGGCCACGTGGGAAAAGGTCTGCGGAGCACCTCTGAACGGACCTTGCCCTTCAGGGATCACCTAAATCGCCCCGGGGAGGCCCTCTGAGTGCAGATTACAAATGCCCCAGCTGCCCTGGAGAAGGGAGAAAACAATCTGTTGTATATTGGTTGCTTTAGGAGTCAACAATACTCGGCTAAGCAGGATTGAAGCAAACAGGAAGTAAATGAGCAGGCAATGCCAGGGTGTCATGCCATCACTCTCAGGATTTCCTTAGCTTTTTTGGCTGCACTAGGATTTACCTGAATGTTGCCAGAAAGGAAGTGAACATGTTCTAGTCACATGTAGACACTCCCCAGAGTGCTGGAAAGCTGCCTAAAAGAGAGGGAATTTTATAGCGTTTTATGGACAGGACTTTTTTTAAAAGTTTCATTTTGTTTCAGATGAAAAGGATAGTTGGCTTTCAGGTGGCAAGGCTGAAGCCAAGCAGAGCAAGATATTGTATAAGCCTGTTTTGTCTTTGTGCTGAATACACGCTGAGCATGTGCTGAATACATGCAGTAAAACTAAACCAGAAGTGCAGCTATACATATGTTTTGTGGAAATATTTGTAGGCCAAAAAAAAAAAAGTTTTAAGATACATATTATACACACACAGGTAACCAAGGCCTTTGCTTTTATTAAGAAAACTCCACATAAAGTTGTTTTTAGGAGTGATTTGAGCAATTGTGTAAGCAATTAGTATTTTAGCAACAGAGGATAGAGTTTTAAATAAAAACAAACAGACTTATATGTTATTATTTTGAGGCATAGGAAACAGAGCTAATGAATGAGTAAGCTGTAGGCACAACTTGCTTTACACTGAGTGCTATACATTTGCTAGTTTCCAGAATATGTATTTTAGCTTGTATATGATATTGGCTAGAACCATGTGCATATGTAGAACCTATAAGCATAAAATATATATTGACCACTATGTTTGAACGCTAAAGCAGTAGTTTAAAAAAATCCTTATTTTTGTCCCTTTTGGAGTTAGAAGTATGAGGATATTATTGTATGATCAATATTTAGTTATATTAGCAAATTACAGAAAATGCATTTTAATGCAGATGATGTATTTGATCAATAACAAAAGTCTTCACACTTGATCTGACATTTTATTTTTGAAATATCTAATATTAATTTAATATTAATAACTAATTGGCAACACTCACAGAATATTGTACAGAACATGTTTTGGGAGATAATTCTACATTTTTTAAAAGGAAGATTAAGAAAATTACCACATCATATAGTCTCTTAATTTAAGAAATCTGTGATCAAATATATCTTCTGCATAAAATGCATATTTTAAATATGAAATTAAAAAAATAATTATTTTTATATACTACTATGGGGCATTTTTAAAATTCTGTCACAAAAGATCATTTAAGGACTATAAAAATATATGTAGTGCGGTAGAAAAACAGTATAGTCAAGGCTTTGAATTTAATATATGACTAAAAAGTTACTGAAGCATTATATATGTGAATAATGTGTACCATATATGTGTATAACTTATAGAGTTTTTAAATGAAATGAAGA